GAAGGACCAGCACCACATCCTCTTGTACCACTGAAGAATTTATCTTCCAGAATCTGGCAGTAAGTTTTGGGAGGTCATTTTTAGTTCATCTCGAGATTTTATCTGTAGAAGATAACCTGCTTAATAATTATGCACACCTGAATATAAGGCGTTTTTCACTTCCAGCCTTCATGAACAATAATATATAGATTATAAGTGATTAAATACAAGATTAATAGTAGTTATAATTATTGGTAAAATGTGCTTAGAAAAAAACAATCAGAATATCAACTTGCATAATAATTATGCATGCACTGTATTTGTCCCCTTCTGCTGTCGAGGTAATGCAAGACATGTTGTGATTGGTTGTCAAGGCAGCCAATCAGAATTTAGCAGCCTCTGTCTCTGATTGGCTGGAAGTATGGCACATTGTAACACTTGGTTGTGTTGAGCACAGGAGCTGTTGGCATTTAGTGAGCACAGAGGGGGGGGCATCAGGTGAGCAAGCTAGTGAAACGTTGCGAAATGAACAAGTGCAAAATGCACTTTTGTGCAGAATTTGTGTGTAAGCCCATACTTTGACGGCTTTCAGCCTCACCCTGCGTCATTCTACTGCCTTAATAAATCATTAGCTCATCCATGAACATGATTTCTGCCCGAGTATCGTTGGATTGCTTCAGCTGTGGGGATGAAGACGACAACTCCCATGATTCCACACTCAGTCACGGCGTCATCAAACTACGCCTTTGTCTCTTTGTTTATTTTGAATATGCGCCCTCTAGCGGCGAAAATTACATATTGTGCCTTTAATACAGTCTATGGTTTAATATAATTTGCCCCTTATGAAAAAATAATCAACATTTGCATTAGTTTTGTTCTGTAACACATCAATTATAAACATTTTTATTTGTTTAAACTGTCCTTTTAGTTTGTCTCTTCAGAACTTTTAGAAAAAAAAAAATACTAAAAGAAAATACAAAAGTTCACGAAATAATTGTTTGTATACTGAATCTTTTTTTTTTTTTTAAGTGGAGGAATTTTGAAATGAGCACAAATGTTGTGTCTGGCGGTGTTGATTTGTTGTTTATCCTTGATGGAAACTTAAATCTGCTCACTGGGAAAAAATTTCAAGAGATAAGTGAGATAAGAATGTTAAGAATAAATATTTCGGTAGAAGATGTTGATGAATTAAATAAGTGTATAAGGAATGTAATTTATAGAACAACAATGGATGTAATTGGGAAAAGCAAAGAAACGAGGAGGAAGAAAGCTGTACCATGGTGGACAGAGGAATGTAATATAGTTTTCCAAAAATAGAGCACTTAAGAAAGTAAGGAAATCATAATCATTTGATGATTTTATCGGCTATAAGAGAGCACAAGCAAATGTTTGGAAAAGAGACAGATATTAATGAAATGTGGGGAATGATAAGAAGGATGGGAGGAATCCATCTTAGCAGAGAGATTCCTGTTCTAATTAATGGAGGAAAACAAGTTATATCAAATGTTGGAAAAGCTGAAATAGCAGTTGAAAATTTTGTCAAGATCCATAGTAAATATATCAGAAGAGATGAGGATGTTTAGAGAAAACAAAATAAAAGATAATTCAAATATTGAAATACAGAGTTTTATCTGAAAGTATATTGGATGAAGGTTTTTCAATATACGAATTAAAGCAGGCACTGGTAGAGATGAGAAACACTTCTCCTGGTAAAGATGAAATATGCAATGAAATGATTCGACACCTATCAGATCAATCGAAGTATATTTTATTTCATCTTTTTAATAAAGTGTGGGAAGTAAAGCTTCCCTCTGCTTGGAAGCATGGTGTAGTTATTCCAATTGTAAAGCCCGGGAAAGATCACTCACAAGCAAAAAGTTATAGACCAATTACATTAACCTCAAACCTTTGTAAATTAATGGAAAGAATGGTAATGGCTATATTGAATTATGTACTGGAATCAAAAAGTCTTTTACGTCCACACCAGAGTGGCTTTAGAAAAGGAAGATGCATAATGGATGCAATTTTAAGTTTAGAATAAAAAAATTAGAAAGGCTCAGATAAATAAAGAATTAATAAAAGGATTGTTTTAAGATGTAGAGAAAGCATATGACATGATGTGGAAAGGACTGAATAATATGAATATTAATGGAAAAATTTATAACTGGATAAAATATTTTTTATTTGATAAAACCATTCAAGTAGGGTTAGATCCTCATAAGTATATGAAATTGAAAATACCCGTCAAGTTAGCGTCTGCAGCCCTATATTGTTTAATAAAATGATAAATGATATTTTAGCACAGTTGGGCCTGGTTTTGGAAAGTCCTTATATGCAGATGATGGTGCTTTAGGAAAAAGGGGCAGAAATGTGTCGCATGTAGAGGAATGTATGCAGAACGCTATCAAAGAAGTAGAAATGTGGACAAATAATTGGGGATGTCAGTGGAAAAAACTAAAGTAATATGTTTTTCTAAAAAGAGTAAAACCCCATCTATCAAACTAAAGTTATATGATCAAGAACTGGAACAAGAATCTGTAATCAGTAATCAATGGATTCTAAATTAACATTTGCATCACATGTCCAAAAGATAATAGTCAAAAGTAAAAGAGGAAAGAATGTTTTGAGATGTTTGGCAGTAGATTGGGGTGCTGACCGGCCAGCCTGGTCTCATGTTTATACGTAGTTATTAATATGTAACATTTACAAGCACAAAACGTACTTTTGTACGTTTTTAATCATGCTAAAACGTACAATTTAGACGTATTTCAACGTTTAAAATGTACAAATCGCTACGTATTTTTAGCTAAAAAACGTAAAAATATTTACGTATCTTTTATATCATTTAGATATTCATATCAATGCATTTCTATCATTTTATCAATAAGCGATTTATTTTTTCATTCAGAAATATTCAGAAATACACCCAGTTAAAAGAGTACTAGAAAATAACTGTGCTGCCAGCAACACTACCATGGTTATTTCCAGTGCCTGAAGTTGACTTTCAGCTTCTAATGAATTTTAAAGATAAAGATAGAATACCTAAAAATACAGTAGTACATAAAAACTGGTTCAAATTTTTTTTATCATCAATGGTTGTAAAAATCCAGATACAGGACATACAGGATCAGTACATAGTATAGGTACAGAATAGCAAAAAGAACATCCAATCATATATCAGTTTATACAACAGGAATGCTTGCAATATCCAGATGGTCTGCTATTTCAGGTAGATTTTTGCACACTCTAATGGCCAATATTTCCCACAATCCATTGCATTTAGGCTATATATATTTGTATATATGTATGTATATATTTAATCTTATCTGATGCATTTAAAAGTTAATGGCCAAACGGATGTTTATAAAAGTTAACATTGTTGATGCAGATGAAATGTGGAGGATGTTAACTGTGACAAGATGATAGACAGGCCAGTTTACAGTGACACCCTGCGTCCCAATGTGCATACTATCCACCCTATCTGCCCTAAATAGTATTGAAAATGACTAATATCACATAGAAGAATTAGCATGGATAGTTTGCACATTGGGACGCAGGCAGAATGTGTGTGTGTGACTATGCGACAGTGCGGTCCGTTAAAGACGCAATTGCATGATGTGTTAGTATGTCCCAAAGCTTGCCTACTCTTCTACTACACATTTTAAAGTGTGTACTTTTTCTTCACCAAAAGAGTAAATACTTTAATGGCGTATAAGTAGACACATTTGGACGCAGCCTGTGTCGCGTTATGTTTGGGCCTGTTCGATAGATGGCAGTAATGCGCTCTCCTGCCTTATTATTGTTCACACGGCACCATAGAGATAGCATCTGAAGTGATGGAGGCGGCAACAGGGGAAATGATAATAAATGTATTAATGATAATCAAATAAACTCATTTAAACTTTGCCCTAAATTCGACTTTCGCCATTGGATTATATTCAAGAGATATAATTTACGCATATTTTGTTTTATGTAGCGAACACCCTTTTTATGGGGTTCTTGTTTTGCTAGCCGCAGCTGTTGACAACGGCTCGCCTCTGTCAGCATCACAACCAAAAAGCAGGTCTGTGCTTATAAACAACTCTATCTATCTATCTGTCTATCTATCTATCTATCTATCTATCTATCTATCTATCTATCTATCTATCTATCTATCTATCTATCTATCTATCTGTCTGTCTATCTATCTATCTATCTATCTATCTATCTGTCTGTCTGTCTGTCTGTCTGTCTGTCTGTCTGTCTGTCTGTCTGTCTATCTACTATCTATCTATCTATCTATCTATCTATCTATCTATCTATCTATCTATCTATCTATCTATCTATCTATCTATCTATCTATCTATCTATCTGTCTGTCTGTCTGTCTGTCTGTCTGTCTGTCTGCCTGTCTGCCTGTCTGTCTGTCTATCTCAGTAATTTCCCCTTGTGTTTCAGTTGAACCGTGAATCATCAGAATGGCTCACTGGAGCAGGTTTGAGAAGGAGCTAGAGCTGGAGACCAGGAGGCTCATCTCACATTTTACTTCCACTCAGGATGAGGAAGATCAGAACTTTCAAATGGCTTTGAAATTTGCCTGGTCCAATTTCAAGTAAGTATTTTTCAAGTGCATTTATTCGTTCATTTATTTATCACTTTAAT